ATAGGGCCTGCCTGCTGAAGTATTTTTAACAAACAATCCGATCTCGTAACTACAACATCAGAAAAGATGACTGAGAAAAGGGCTCTTTGACTACTTCCACATTTCCTTCCCTTAGGCCGTTTTGTGAACGATATTGGTGAAATCCTGACCCCATTGAAGTCAGTAGCAAAATTCCTACTGAATTTAACAGGGCCAGAATTTTACAACTTTTGTTCGTGATTAAAATTCCTTTTTGCTGGACATTAAACCTTTTCAGACGAAGGCAAGGCGCACTACTCAGCTATGCCCCCAAACACCTCATGTTTATCCGTAAGGTACTGTATTAATTTTCCTCGTATGAAAGTAACCAGATACGAAAACTCCTATTAGCATCCCTCATGAGAGTTAATAGCCACAAATAATGCTCCTTTACAAAAATAACAGGATTTATCCAAAAGAAAGGCAGTGGAAAATAAAGGGCTCTAATATTACAGAAAGGATACCAACACAAAAAGCCCATCGCCCACAGAAAGGGTGCAGCTGAGCGATGGATAAATTGCAATTGCTTTTCCTTCCCGACGGTGAGACGGAGCAAACCGAGGGAAGTCCCGGCCACAAACGCCCGGCGCTGTACGGCTGCGACGGTGCACCAGCAGCTCAAGCACTGCTCCGAGGAAAGGAGGTGGTGAGCAGCAGACCTGCAAACACCCATCTTTCTGTGCAGGTGCTCACAAACGATGCTTCGCCTTCCAGCGGGAAATACTTAACGCTTTGTGGCGAGGCCGGAGAGCGCGAACCCCGCGAGGGATCGCAAGAGGCGGTGAAATATGGGTATCGATTTCCCAGAGACTCCCGCACCGGCATGAACCGCTAAATGCAACCTGGAGGTGAGCATGCCTATTCAAACCCCCACGGCGCCGGGAACTGCTGCCACGTGCCGCCGCCGAGAGCCCGGTCCGTTTGTTGACTGGCGTGATTTAAGGACACTGATTAGGGACACATATATAGTAATGTCTCCCTGTTACCCATCTATCCATCTATTACATATGATAAAAGGACCAGTGGCGATAACAGTACAACTGACAGGTCTCACCATGAAATTAAATCTACTGTATTTTATCTCAGTTTCTAAATGGACGTTTTAACAGTCCAATAACTGCGAGCAAATCTGCATCAATTTTAAGTGCCCGTCTCTAGCACAGGCTCGGCAGCCGGGCCCTCCTGTTGGAAAGATCACTGCTCGTGCTTCATCATTACGGCTCCAACTACTCCATTTCAAAAGAGTCCCCTTCCCTTTTTAGTGTGTAAAAATTTAACATTTAATCTGTTTCTACTAGGAAACTGCGAGAAAGGATCCACAAAGGTCAGCGTTCCCTGCTTAAAGAATTTGAATCGAGTTAAATTTCTTTAGGCTTTTCAGCGTAGGTAGCAACTAGGAATAAACACAGAAGAGGACGAGCAAAGGGGGGGGCTTTAACAGGCTTGACAAATGACACTGTGATTCACACCCACTGCTGGGCTGCCACTAATAAGCTACAGAGGAAGCAGCCAATCTCAGCTAATTACCAGATAAAATTGTATTGTAAGGACTCTAATTAGGAGATGCTTATGGAGGTGATCTAATGATTAAACGCTGCATCCGAGTGACCCCACCATCAATGTGCAGTGGTGCAAGATGTCACCGGAATATTTTGTAGAAACAGTAATTTTATTTCAAGGAGGGGAGGCAGTAATATTTGTAATAATGGCTATGAGGTAAACTAATTAAAAGACAGTTCCTAAAGGAAGACTGTGGCTTTGAGCAGCTGTGGCCGTTCCAAAACAAAGTGCCAAATCTCAACAGAGGAGCGGCAGTCAAGTGGAAAATTTCTGCCTGACCTCTGCTCTCGCTATTAATTTGCAGGAAAACTAATGACACATATACATATTCCCACAAAATTGTTCTAATTGCTAATTTGCCAAAGGAGCCCAGTTTCCAAATTAAACATGACTGCAGTCTGTGAGGAAAGAGAGAACAAAAAGCTGGAACGCAGCGAGTGTGCTGCGTTTCACCTCCGACGACCATTTGCGAGCCTGAACCAACAAGTTAATGAAACACGACCTTGTCGATCGCTAGCGAAGTTTTTCCTTTTTCCGTGTTTTATTTGATGACACTCTCCTCTTCCAGCTGGGGTCCGATCCCTGCCGGTGCTGTTACCAAAACACGAGCTAGCGTAAGGGAGGAGAGGGCTGCGCTCCCTCTGCAGACCCTCGCTGCTGCTTTCTTTGTTGCATCGATAGTGCGAAGGCTGAAAAATCGGTTGTGAATTAGAGCAGAATAACAAATTATGAATGGTGTTGGTTTTGTTGCCATCTTGAAATATTAATCTGAATGGTAAACTATTAAATCTTAATATTGGCATCAATTAGAAACGCGAAAGCGCCCGTGGATGATCGTGCAGGGCAAAGATCAGGGAGGGACCGGGCTGGGAGGGTTTCTTTTCCTGATGGAAACTCAACACGGTTTCTCCCTGTTTGCATTTTCTATTTAAAAACAAGTTACTATGATTAGAAAAGTTGTTCGCGCTGGTAATTTGTACACAGCCTGTTTCCCACATACTGTAATTTTTGGATGAGGTATCGTCGCTGTCAGAGGGGAGGGAGCCTAAGTCACAGAGTTAGCACTTTAATGAGCAAGAACTCTTGCACTGCAATAAGGCACAACACGGGGCACTCTCCAAGTACGCCAGAGAGTACAGCCCTCGCACCAAAGAGTTTAATGTTTTTGTCATGTTTGTACTGAGGTTGGGGGGAAGGGAGGATTTCCTCCAGCCTTAAAAAAAAAAACAACAACAAAAACCCCCAAAAACAAGAAGGGAAAAAAAAAACCCAACAGAAAAAAACACCAAACCCCACAAGTTTTAGGTCCTAAAATTCTGCAAATTCAATCGCTGAGCCTTGTTGGGTGCTTTGTTCAGTTTTGTTTGTTGAGAACATTTCCTCATACTGTTTTAACTTAATCATAAATGCCATAATTGTTTCAGCGTTCAATATCCTGCTTAGGATTTTATTATTAACCTTCCCTTTCAAGAAATAGTCATGTCTTCCTATTAAAGGTGAAGACTGAGTGATTTTCTTTTTTTTCTTTAGATATAAATAAGGCAGAGAGGTAACCCTCTCCTTCACCCCGTAAAATAGATTTCCAGTAAGTGGCTCTCCCACTAGGGCTAAGTCTGATTTCTTTTTGTGTAAACATTTTACATGACAATAGTGGCTGCACATAAAAAAGCCCCTGAAATTCTTTTAAAAAAGAAAAAAAAAAAAAGAAAGTATTTCTAAGTGTCACGGTGGGGCCATACCCACTGCTGCAGGGCAGCGACTCCTCTGCGATGGATGCTGCCGCTCTGGTCCCAACTGGGGCTGAGGATTTAGCTGCACCGAGTTCCTGGGACTGAAACGCTCCGGAGCAGAGACTCCTTTTCTTGACACCAAGGGTGAGAGAGAAAGCTAACGCTGGGCCTAGAACTTTGGTAAATGCTGTGTCTTCCCCTCTCGTTTCAGCCTGGACACATTAGTGTATTAGATGCAGAGCCCGGCAGGCAGCAATCACTTAGCAGGTGTTGTTATTGGCAGGAATACTAAGGAAACCGAAGCTGAGGAGTGAGACTTAATGAAAACCAGTATATAAAAACAGCTTTTGTTGTGCTGGAGAATCTCTCTTTATTGCTGCGTATCGTTATTTTTTCAAACTATAAAGTACGGCTACAGCAGCTAAAATGCTCAGTCATTACCTCAACAGTTAAAAGACTATTTTTTTTTTTAATGCTTTGTTATTACAGTTGCTAAAAACAGTATTTCAAAACAATCATAACTGCTATGGTTAGGGTAAAAAATACATTAAAGAAGGGATATCTAACAGTGCATTTTATTTAAAGTGCCAAAAGTTTCTTTAAAAGTTTTCTATTTTTAAAAGATGGCCATAGCACCCAGTATGCAGAATTACTTGTTGGTTGATGCTTCTTCCTTTTCCTTCCCTTCCTATGAACTTCGCCCTAAGTTAATTCCCCAAAAGAAAGCACGTTTCCATTTCAACCTATTATGCTGATCACTAACACCAATGAAAACGCCATGTAGGGGAAGGTATCTTAATAGCAAATCCAGAATGAAAATTCTTGAGAAATTCCTTGTTCTGGCTTTTGTGTTGTGAGGTTTTTTTACCTTGAAAAAAATTCACCCTACAAGAATGTGTCACAGCATATTCCTTCACAGACAGCTTTGTTCTCACCTTATTCAGGCCTTCAGTCTCACCAAAACACGACATGTAGCAGTAAAAGGAACAACCTCGCGTGCTCCCGAGTGTGAAGTTGTGAGATACTTCCGTTTTCTTTTAAAGCGTTGCACCATTGGGCATTTTAATCATAAAGTTGGACGTTTCTAAAGAAGGCATTTGGCATTTAGCACTGCCCCAGCTCATGATGTGGTCTCCTTCCCCAGCCCCCTCCTGTCTGCCCAGCAGCTCCTCAGGAGCAAGGGAAGAGCTGCCCTTTGCAGTACACCAGACGTCAACGGCAACCTCCCCGCGTACGTACCTATCCGCCAATGATTTAGGCCATCCACCACTACACTATAGAAGAACATGTTTAAATTTCATCGGCTTTAATAGGACTAAAGAGCTTTATTGAACAGATGTCTTGGTGGACTGGCGTAGTGAAACGTAGGGGCAACTCCACCGCCCTTCCCAAGGTCAAAATTACCGCAAGGAGCTAAAGCCACCCGAAGGTGGGGATGTGATGGATGGACGTGGCTAGACCGGACAAGCAATCCTTCCCCAAAGCTGGGTGAATTTTGAATCGATGCACAACCACCAAGAACCTGGCTGTGGTCCAACCGGTCCAAAACCACCCGCCCAAGCTGCTGCCTGAAGCCCAGAAGGGAAAGACGGTACCAACGGTCAGTGTGGATTACAAATGGCACGTGGTTAACACAGACGCTCAGTCACCAATTTTACCTGCCAGTAACAAAATAGTTTAAAAACAACCATTAAGATCCTTTAAGCAGAATAAAAACATTCCCCAGTCATGAAAAGGCTGTAATTTTAAATCCCAGTTCACTGCCACACCAAGCAGCACCTATACCTATCTCTTCCCTTTAAAATCACCGATGTACCGTAATATATTAATTCTAACATACACCTTGCATTAGTTATGTTGGCAAAAAAAATTTAATTACTGGATGTAAAGAATACTTTGCACTGCAATAATGGTCATCAGATCTTTTTACCAAAGTCCTATCCCACTGAGTTAAAAGGACTAGGGTCTAGCACAGTCTATGCAGCGCCTGTGTATTTTTTTCACTAGGAGAGCACAATTTATGCAAAACACTATACTTCTACATTTTATAATTAATTTTCAAATGCTTCACCTATACATATTTTAATAATTTCTGATTTATCAGATGGTATCTATAATAAATTTTTCTATATTTCAATAAATGAAAAGAAGGCAGTTTCAATCCAACAACAGAGTGCCACACAATATAGGCCTGTCAGGCACCAATTTTTACTTCTAACATGTAAGTTAAAGGATAAGGAATTTATAATGCTGCCTGTGAACGAAACCACTTTTCATACACAAATGTGATCTTTTTTTTTCCAAAGGGTAATACAACAGTACATTTACATAAACTAATCCAAACAATCTATGTATTTGACAATGGCAAACCTCACACAGACTGCCTATTGTTGGTTTACATCTTGGAGTTCTTTATGTTGGCTTGTAACACTGCTCTAGCTGTCAAAGGTTTGACTTGGACTCTAAATAAATGGTTATAGAAGTGCTGTGCAGCGATATTGGACTTCTTTGCAAAAGAAAACCTGCTGTGTATGAATTCAAAAGCTATTAATTTTTCAGTCAAAAATATTCATGCCTATTTCTTTTAATAAAGAAACACTGTGCTGAGCAACTGAGAGATAATGTTGACTAGTGGTACAGAATTTTCAATAGAGCAGTTAAAAATAAATTTAGTAGGAGGTCCCCAACAAAGCTATAATTTTCCAGAATGTAAAACATTTTTAATACTAATCAAGACAGCCCTTTTCCCCCTGCGTTCACTTCCCCCCACCCCCTGCTTTTCCCTGTTTATTAGCTGTTAACACTAATCTTCATGGCGACACCGCCTGGTATCTCCGTAGCCTACAACGCCCGCAAAAGCTTCCTGCCCTCCACAGCTGAGCATCGATCACGAGCTGCCTTGCCAAACGCTGCTCGCCTCCTTACGATTTCCTCCCTTTAGTTTTTAATCCTTCCTCCTGAGGGGCACCGCTGTTATGAAAAGGCCTCAAGGCAGAGTGCTTTGAGACTCCCAGATTATTCCGCTGTTTTAATTTTTAATCCAGTAAGAGCTATAGAAACCAAACCTCCTCCCCATTCTGTTGGGTCTACATACTTTGCCAACAATGCGCTGAAGCATTTGCATTCAGGCTGAGATGGATGCGAGGAACTAGAAGAATGCTATTCTACTCTAGAGGGCTGGTATCCACCGGATCAAGCAATTTTCGGCATCTCAACAGCTTAAATGGAAGGGTTTATACCTACCACTCAACTCTCTCCAAGAAGGCATCGAAATTTCCCGTTGACTTTGACATCTGCTCCAGTGTTGCTGAATAGCCTGCTATTTTCTGTCTACTAGCCTCCCTACGCACTTCTGCAGCCATTTATTTCCAACTACATGGAAACTGAGAAATCCTCTTCTAGTAAAAATGGGTGCGCGAAGTGTTTAATGATTTTATGTTCTCTATCTCTGTAATGTGTTCTGTTTCAGACATTAATTTTGTCTACCAACTGCATCTTGGCAGGCTACCATATTTGCTGGGTTAATAGTCTGACTCCTTTTTATTTCTATCACCATAAATCACGCATATATGGGTGTGTGTTTGCTTTATTTATAGAAAAAAAAAATCAGTCAAAACAGATAAACCAATACTTTGTCATTATGCTGCATCATTGCATATTGATTAAAATTGCTAGTACTAACTATAGATTGTCAACGCTCAATTAATTTTCACACAATGACTCAAAGCAAAATCAAATAAAGCCAGTGTACCTTTAAATCTTACAAATCTTAAAATCAGGAAGCAAAGCACTCTCTCCATTTTGAATAATCATTGGAAGCTCTGAGGAACATTTTCAGCGTTAAGAGGTTGGGAGAAAACAACAGCTGAAGAAGAGTCATTTTGGTCAGGGAATGAGATGGTGGATTTGCCTGGCTTTGGGGGTACCCTGGAGTTGACTTGGGCTGCGAAGCCCCTTGCTTCCCCCACACCCCCTTTTTTAAAGGACAATCTGGGGCAGAGAAGGTTTCCCTTCTCAGTTTCAACAGTGTAAAACCTGATACCCGGTAACCGCAATTATCATCAAAACGTGCTGCTAGAGTCTCTTCCACTGTAAATGTCTGTCGGACAGGGAGCAAGCAAAATAAATACACTAAATATAATTTAATTACATCTCCTTCCTAACACTTCCTAAGATTTCATGCAAGTCGGACTGATGCAAAGCGACTTACAGGCTAGTACGCGAGGCCAGAAAAAGGCCCGATGCCTCAACTTTAGAACAAAACTTCTTTCAAACCCCCCGAAGAGAGGGGGACGACGAAACCCGGGTGCCCGTGGCGGTGCCTCCTGCAAAGCAGCGCTTTGCATCTCCTCACCGCGACCGGCTCCACAGCGGGCCACGCTTCGCATCACGCGCTCCGGTGGGGAACAGGAAAGAGAAGTTTGTTGTGAGGTTTTGTTTGCTTTCGGCACAGTTCGGTACTTACGGGCTGAGGGGTGGCTTTTGGTTCAGTCGACTTCACATGCAGGTGCGTCATCATGGCTTGCAGGCGCTCTTTATCTTTTGCAAGCTGAAAGGGGGGAAAAAATATCCTCTGTTACTCGTACGAATAAAACGCAGCCTCTGCTTATTCCTAATTAAACAGCTGGCACCGAGGCATGAGACAGAAGAGTTTTACTGCTGAGTAGTTTGGAAATTGTATACGGTCTATTTGTGAGGTAAAGCTAACGCGTGGTGCTGGGTGTCACTATTTCCCAAAGCAAAACGCATTAGCCCTCGAGTGAGAAGAGCTAGACCTGCCGGCACCAAGAGCTTCACTCTAGCCCTGACAGCTAAAAGACAACAGTGAATCATGTCTATTAACCAGCCCCGCTCCGGCTGAGGAGGCGCAGCAGAAAGCAAGCGAGGCAGCGGCTCCGAGATGCGTTTGCCTCCCTTCAGACCAGAAAACAAGCGGCACAAATGGACCGTGGCTTTTACGTCACGTACAGGCTTTGCGGCATGCGCAGAGAGAGCGGTGGTTAAACCACACGAGGCACCTCCGCGGGGCACGGCGGGCGGCCTTGGCTCTAGAAAACACCCTGCTTTTCCTCGAGAAGGTGGCACGGCCCCTCGGCGGGTCACCCTGGGCAGCCGAGGCTGGGAACCCGAGCGGGGGCACCCTGAGCAGCAGTGCGAGTTGCCAGCATCCCTTTGGCATACGCCTGAGGGCAGGCAGGGTGGGAAAGGCTAACGTTGTCAGGAACCGCCCCAGAGCCCTCATCTCAGGGCACACAACGCCACAGGCCCGATGCTTTCGCCCTTTCTCATCGGTCACATCACGCCCAAGAGTTGGGGCAAAGCTCCTGCTCTGGATGTCTCTTGCTTTTTTTGGTTGAGATCTGCACCAGGCCATAGCTGGTGCCTCGGGATCACACCGTACGCATCCTTGCCCAGGACGGCTTCCCAGTGCATTTCAATGCACTGGACAGACACTAAATCTCATTATTTTTGGAAACAAGAAATTTTTTGTATGTGCAAATAGGACTTTTTCTAGCTGCTCTTCAAAAAAAATACAGTGGAAAGATATTAAGAAATAATACTAATGAAAAAGGGGTGTTATTAACCTACATGCCCAACATAAAGGCTCCTGTTCCCAGCAGGACTTGGATCAGGTTCTTACAAATGACAATTTTTGCAGAGCTGAGTTTTTGCTTTAGACAAGCCAGATTCCTGGTGCCAAGAGGAGAACTGTGCTCGCATTCCAGCAAAACTTTAAACAACCTGCCCACCTTATCACCGTCATCTGTTTGTAGCAGTAAAGCTGGGCTAAGTGTATATAAAAGGAGACTTGGTCATAAATCCCCATTCATAACCTTACGGTCAAGGTTGTCTTGCTCTTTGCAAGGCGAGGGGTTTCTGACCGTGCCAGAAAGGCGTCATGATGGGATAAAACTTGGCACACGACTTTCCAAGGCAGGAATTAAATAAGGGGAAAAATGGCGTCATCACTGTGTGCTCTGGAAGTGCAAAAGCAAAAATCGCTGGGCTTTTCAAACAGCTGCTCCCTTCTTGGTCAAAAATCTCAATGGCAAGAGAGAAAACCTGACACCTACAGCAGATCTCCTACAATCTCATCACCAGATCTGTGCTGGACTTCACAGAAGAGCCGAAGGGCAGCGACAGGCTCTTATCGTAGCACTGCAGCAGAAACTTCTCCCTCCGAGAGTCCTCTGAGGACCTCTTCAGAGAAAGGAGAGGTCTCACCCTTCAGCCGCCGTGCTTCACACAAAACAAATTAAACCCGAGAAATAATTGTACTCTCAGTGCAGCTCTGTTGTGCAATCTCTCATTTGTAGCAGTCGCTGGGCGCACGGGCTGCTTGGCGGGGGTCATCTGTGCATTAAATTTTGGTCTGCAGGCTACTGCAGAAGAACAACATCTTCTAGCCAAAATAAATAAAAGGCAGGCACCTGAAAGCTCCCTGCCTGCACCAGCGCGGCGGCAGGAGGGAAAGGCACCCGGGCAGCGCGGGGGCACACCCTGCGGCGCTTCCTCCGGGCCCCCTCGGCGAAACAGAGCAGTGCACCTCCCTCCGAACGGCCGGGGTCCTTGTTTGTAGTGTTTTCACTCATCATCTTAGCAATGCTTTTAACGCCGTTTCTGGTGGATGGAGGTTATTAAAGATCCTCTCGACATTTCAGGCAGACACACGCTAGCATTTTGTCATAGTCTAGGAATTCAAACACTCACCCAGTTAGGCAGGAGTTTAAATTATGAAAAATAGAGGTCTCTCAGTTTCAAAGCACTGAAGAGAAGTAAAAAAATCTGAAGAATTTCTTTAAACTGTTTTTCCCTTAGGTCAGGAAGCAATAGTAGTATAAAACTAGAATGTCACTAGTAGCCCCTCCGGTCAGTGGGGTCATACAAAAGAAGCCATGAGGGCTTACTCAGCCACTGATGGGAGCAAATTCTCACTGGTGGCACCCACTGGAGTGCAGACTGTCCAGAAATGGGGATTATTAGTAGACATGCAGGAAAATGCTCTTGATCTACTAATAGTGCTCTTGGGCAAGGACTGTTCTGCCATGTACGAAAGGATCTGCTCTGTACAGGGGGTCTGAGGACTATAATACAGTCCCATCTGAAGCCTCATTCTTTTTTCCTAAATCCATTTGGAAAGCTCTGCATGGTGGGAGTTTTCAGATGGCCACCCAGTTCTTCATGATAAGCCTGATTTTGTGAGGTTTCCCCTCACCTCTGTGGGGTACAACCACGATGTAGGTGCCTAACTGTGGTTCAACAGAAAACACATCCAGAGCAAGGTACATGCTTTGCAAACTTGGACACCAAGACACATGCCTTGCCCCGGAGAGGTTAAATCCTAAAACTACACAGGTAGGAAAGGCAGGAAAGGGAAGGCACAGAAAGCACAGGCCAGAAGGGGCAGCACGGGAGTCTGGCGACCAAGGAGCAAGAGAGAAGGCATTAGGCACAGATGATGGAGGAATTGCACAGGAGGAAAAACAGACTGAAAATAATGGCAAGGAGCAGGCGTGTGAAAATGGAAACCCAGTGAGGGCATTCAACAGGAGCAACATGGCCACACCAACAGGAAGGGGAGATCACTTCAGCAGTAGGATTTTGGACAGACCAAGGACAAATGAGAAGGAAGCCAGTCATGGGCAATGCAAGAGACAACCAAGACGTAGCCTCTTCCCTCCCATTACGTGCCTAGTTAGGCTGTGCACTAGAAAGGTTTAGGATCCACTTTTCAAGAGTGTCAATGGATGCTTTAGGAAAACAGGCGCGAGCAGTGTTTTCACTACACTGAAAACGGCCAGCAGTCTTCACTTTCTCCTGTTAGGAGGTACTTTTTTAAACTTCTCACAGCCTTGTTGCTGTCCTCAAATGTTTTTCCACTCAAAGGTGGTGCTGCAAAATGAATGTCCTACTCCAGCTGAGAACTAGCTCAGGATAGGGATATGTTCCTTGTGTTTGTGTTTTACCCAGCAGCCCAATTCTCACTATTTATAATGGCAACAAATGATCATGTCAAGACGGTTTGAACGAAGTGAAATATGAGAAGATCTCTACCTTTTCTGTGATATTTTAAGTATGTTTGTGATGGAAATGCTGAGACCAAAGCTTCAAGATACTTCTGCAAAGGGGCATTTGCAATCAAACACAAAAAAGATCTGACTCGTTTTTTTCAAAAAGTTCATTTAAAAATTACTTTCTTTAAAAGACATGATGCTTATCTCTGTCTACAACACTGATAAAACTATTGTGCGAAAAGTAAGAGCATAAAAAGAAAAAAAGGCTTGCATTTGGGTCCATCACACTCAAAACCTGAAGTGCATCCCTCAGGTGGAATGAATTTGTTAAACTCTACCCCTGTCTTGATGGGGCTGGACATGCATGAAATGGTGCGGCATTTAGATCTTGCCATGGTGCCGGACCCTGAACAGCATGTGACACTTCATAGCTCCACTGGAAGGCAAAGCTTCTCGTCAGCGCTGAGCACCACGGGTCAAGTGGGAAAGGCTACGGGTCCCTCTTCTGTCTAGCTCACAAAACTCAAACAATCAACCACAGGGCTTGTCGTCACCACTCTGTTGGGAACTGCTCCATTGCAGGAGTATCAGGTCAACGGTCTTAGTCCAACTGCTCTTGCTACAACACGTTGGGCGCTGCAGACCACATCATGGAAAACCTTGCTATTGGGCCAGGCTTTTGGTTTATTTTCTGTGCAAAAACAGGTCACAGCCAGACAAACTAGGTGCTGGAGGACAAATCCTCGTACATATTTAGGCAGGTTTTTGGGTTTTTTTTTTTTTTGTTTTTTTTTTTTAAAGTATCTGAGGACTGATACACAGGATGAAAAGAGAGAAGAGGGGAGTTACAGGTACATTTCAGAAGCAGGACCACCCTCCTCCTCCATCTATCTTTGCTGGCCAATGCATAGATGGTCTCAATCTGTTATCAACATCCCTGTCTAAATTAAGCCTCCAAGTTCATCCTATCTACTGTGCTAGTAGGATTGTTAAAAACCAATCCAGAACTTTCTGGCCCTCACACCACTTTGAAACTATGTTCTTGTCTTGGGGACCTTAAGCTGCCTTCCCATGCAATGACTGCAAGCTAAGAGGTATTCCCCAGCACTGAACGGGTGTGAAGCTGTAACTTTGAGTCACCTATAACAATTAGTAGAATGCACCGCTGATAAATCTTTCAAAAATATTGTCAAAGGGCTTAGGGAGAGGTGGTAACCAAGTATCATCTCTGTCCTGTCCAACTGTTAACATAGGGCATCCTCCCGTAGTTCCAGGCACAGCCATTCCCAGCGACTGCAGGAGAGAAGGATTAATGCTTTTCAAGCTGACTGTAACCGAAGAATCTAGATTTACCTTCAGCCTGAATATTACTGCATCTTGGTAAAAGATTATCTCATATCTCAGTTTACCAGGAAGACTGCAGATTTTTTTTTTCCCCCCTAATTCCTGAGAAACTTGTTAAAATAACAGATCATTTCTCATAACATTTTCTGCGAGACTCTGATATTTTATGACTGGTAGTTTGATTTTTATAAAACTTGTATTAAAATAGTTTATATTGCTTCAGCTAATAGTGAAAGAGCGTCATGACCACTGAGTTCCTGAAAGTAAAATTTAGGAAATATCTATGAAAGAAAAAGGGTAATTTGTAAGATAAGAAGATAAAAGGCATTTTTTTAAATGCTTATCTTGAAAAGTAACAACAAGAAGTTTAAGTGTGTTTTTGCTGATTTTTCTCTCCAACTATTTGAAGCTATAAATGACTTAACTCAGTAAAATTCCAAATGTAATTATCTTCTGTACTTAGCCCAAGGCTTTCCATATATCTCTACACTGCTGTCTTGCATACAAAATAGGTTTTTCAATAGCTGGTAACTATATAATGTACAACATTGTTTTAATTTCCCCTTCTTTGCTAACCTCTTGCCTACACACAGACACACTGTCAAAGCCGCCCAGCCAGAGCAGCGAGGTGCAGGGACACAGAAAGGACTCAAAAGCATTTGGAAAGGCAGTTACACAAACAGGTCAAACCTTTGCATCGCATTCAATATATTCCAATTTACCCCCTTTTGGCACTTTTAAAAAAAATTATTTGCTACAAATGGCAAAAAATAATAGTAGTAATAATAGTAATAATAATACATGGAGAGTATTAGTATATGAGACACCACCAAACAAGCCAGGTCATGCAGCGTTTTGAAATAAACATCAACCATTTCCCCCGTTTATCAACAACTCTAAATGAAGGGGACCGTATTCTGCTCGCCCCCCCCTTCCCCCCCAGCATTAGATACATACTGATGGATTTCCAATCAGTCAGCCTGTTTAAGTTTCCTATTTCTTTTCAAGTTACGGTTTAGAAAAGAGGAAATGAAGCTGCAGTTTCTTTTGACGGTTTTTAAAACTACTACAAGAAGGTTTTGAAAGCTGGTTTTCAATCATAGGGGGAAAAGCAGAACTCATTTTTTATTGCTGTCGAGAATTGGATTTGATTAATACTGAGGTAATATTAAAATAAATTTTATTTTACCTGTAGCTCTAACTGCTGTACAACCTGCATTTGTACTCTACATTGGGCTGTACTTCTATCATCCAGCGCATGCTCACTGTTGAGATGTCTGTAACAATACACAGAAAATCATTAAGTGAAATGGATAAACAAAAAGGAAAAAGTAGTTACCAGGATGAATAAGCAATCGGAATGTTATCCAGCAGGTCTTCATCAATATCTAAGATTTTTAAGATCATTTTTGTATTTTTTTTTCCTCTGTCCTGCTTTGGCTTGTGTATCTTCCCATCGCTCATTATATCTTAAGCACATTTTTTCAGAAGGCGGCTCATTTGTATTTAAGAGAAATTTTGCAGAACAGTTGTTTTTCCTCCATTAGGTAAATGAAAGTGAGATCAAGAAATTATAGTAAAATAATTTCATATATAATTTCATATTACTTGACTATAAGATGCTGGATATTTCTAAATGGACACATGCAATACATGAATAATTAAATCCCATAGAACCCTCATGTTTATGTGATTAAAAATAAAAAAAAAATACATGATTGTGTAAAGAACAAAAAACCACATAAAGTTTGGTGTATAAGTATGTGCAAAATATGTACCAATGAAAGAGAGAAAAATACGGACAGTTACTGTAAAACAAATCATCTTCATCCAAAAGAAACAAAAAGTCATCCAGAACACTAGAACAGCTGGAATTCAAGGTTTATTGTAGTATGTGTTCTGAAAAACTTCCCCCATGCAAATGTTAAAATAAATTAAAAAAAGAAAGCCTTTAAAATAAAACTGCTCTAAGGCTCAGGCTAAAGCTATGTTTTGGGGCTAGTACCTTCACAGAAGGGGGGGGGGGGGAATCCCCAAATATTGTTCTCCAATCTACACTTTTTTTTTACCTTTAAATTGCCTTGATTTCAAGATCTTTAGCATACGATGGGCTATATTTAACTCCACCGACTTCTATGATTTACAACACAGAACAATTTGGCCTACTTATCCTCCCGTGCTGGTTAACCACTGATCTTAAATGTGTAATATTCAGTATTCTGTGGAGTAACTTTCTCACCTGCTAACAAGAAATCTTTCTTTTTTTTTTTAACCACGGCGAACAGAGAAGCTCTGATTGTGACCGCTGTAATAAATCAGGTGCCCACCGCTGATACAGCTTCCCCCCTCCCCACGCTGAAACTCATGTAAGCCCCCTCAGAAACACGCCATGAGCCAACTGCCCGCCGCCTTATTTTACGCCAGCGTATTTTTTTCTCCAGCACATCGGCAGCAACTGGAGGACAAACGTCGCTGCATCCATTTACGTTACACGTCGGGTACAGTTCACAAGGGCAGGGAGAAGGAGAGCCGAACCCCCCAAGGCGGACAGCCGACCGTCACCCACCGCGTTAAGGCCATATGGATAACACAGTTCCACCTGACTCTCACACGAGATTTTTGGTGATCTACAAGATCCCAGGAAAAGCATCGCTCTTTGTTTCAATGCAAGAGCAGCTCCAACTTATTTTATAAACTTTTATATGCATTTAAGCCCCCCCAGCGTGCACGCGTCTTGCCGCCTCTCCGCAATTTAAACCTCTGCAGAAAGCTCCCCCGATCGCAATTTGAAGCTGCACGCGCACGGCAAGGTTATTTCGTGTCCCTTCGCTGCTGAGGGGCTCCAGCCACCCCGGGGGCTGCTCCCCGCAGGCAGCTTCTCCCGCCACGCGGAAAGCAAAAGGCCAAGGCAGGAGCGGAAAAAAAAAAAATAAAATAAAAGAAGGTCAACGCACAGACGACAGGCAGAGTA